TGAAAGGCTCCGCCCACAGTGGGCTTGGCATACGCTGCAAGTTGGTGGTGCCGCAGAAGAAAACTCATAAGTCGCTTCCAAGAGCAGCCAAGAGATGGGGAAAAGGTTGAATAAGGTTAGCAAGGGGTTGTCAGACTATTAGAGGAGAAATGCCCGAAATGGGCGGGCGTACTTGAGATAGGCGGCGCTTCCCATAAAATTCATTAACTCGGTTCCCGGAAGAGTTTAGAAATTGCTAAAAGGTCGATGTAGGAGGGCAACACCTGGGAGAGTTTGGAATGCCTGAGGTGTGTTGAGACCCGCCCACAGTGGGCGGAGCTTGCTCTCAATCATAGGGTGCCCATTTCAAAAATTATGTAGCTTGGTTCCAGGGCACGAAACCGGAAAAAGTGGAAAAATGGTCGCCGGTGAGGACTGTGAGGCATACACGTTGTGGACGGCTCCTCGCCTAAACCAGTCCATTTTTTCCCCACTGAAATTTTTTAAGTTTGGCGCACCTCGCCGCAGGCTCCGCCTACAACGGATGTGCTGCGGATCGACCGGTGATCCCTCCTGACCACTACCACTTTTAAGCGTGCTGGAGTGCTCTGGGACCGTTTTACAGAATTTTTTCGGGCTCCCCCACAACGGGGCAGACGCCGCCCACAACATGTGTCCACATTTAAAGGGTTTAAAGTTATGTTATTATAAAAAAAGATAAAAAGTTAGGTTAAGTTATTATGTTTTATTAAGTTTTCAGCGTCTTTATTTTCATTCCCACTCTTCACACATCAAAGGTACTAGTGAACGCACATTTATACATCGTCAGTCACGCCTATTTTTGCGGTGCTTGCAAGATTTTCATATTTTTTCAAAATTTTTGCACTTTTGGATGTTAGGAGGCCCCATCCCTTTGAAAAGCGCCGCCCACTTCAAAAATGTTGCAAATCGCTACTATAGAGCCTCAGCTTGTATGTTAGGGTGTCGTTCATCACTCGGAACGAATAAAACAGCTAAATGTTGTTCCGAGTAACCACCATATCCTAGCATGCAAGCTGAGACTATACCGCCGACTTGCACCATTTTGAAAAGTGGGCGGAGCTTCTTCAAAGTGAGTGGTGCCACTCACCTAACAGTCCGAAGATGCTAGAACTTTGAAAAAATATGAAAATTTTGCGAAAAGCCGCAACATGGGTGTCGCGGGAGGGGAGATGCCCATGTGCCGTTGTACAGTCCTTTCCAGCTGTTATATATGTGCGAAATAACAAAAGTGCAAAAAATTCACGATTGCAGAAGTTACCACCCACT